GTGCGAGAGAGAGGGTGAGAGAAAGAAAAAAAACCCCGCGATAAGGAGCCGGCTCGCGTCGTTCATGTCAAGGAACCGCCTGTAAGAGCCATTTCGTTCGCGACCGACCCATCACTACAGTGTAGTATCTTAACCACTTTAAACTTAGCCCTCATTTTATTTAGTACCCCTAATAACACAAATACTTACACGAACAGGAAATACTCAGTGCGCTCTTTTTGTAGTAGTGTATGCTCTCTGAGCCTGCCACCTTTCTGTCTGTCCTGCACATTTCCCTTCTCTTGTTTTCTTTGTGATTGTAAAATAAAAGTATAACATGTATTTATAAAATAACTTGTGTTTTAATTCTGCAGTTTATCACACATTTGATTTCCATGCTTGAAAAATGCAAGTGTCCAGAGTCAGGACAGATTGAGAAACTCACTGCTGCAGATCATCTGTGATAATCTCTGAGGGAGAGCTGATGAGACAAAGGCCTTCCACCTGTGATGATCAGACAGGACAAACTCAGCAGTGTGCGAAGAAAAGGAATCTTTTTAGCTAATGTTAAAATAGAATAGAATTAAAGTGTTTTCAGTGTGGGAGAAACTACTCAAGTTCTTCGAGTAAAAACGATATAAGGTAGTAAAAAGTTATATATTCAGAAACTTAAAGTATGTAAGTATCAGCAGCAGAATGCACCTGAAAATAAATGCCATCATTTTGGATTAATAATACTGCTGTGTTTGTTGCATCATGATTTATATATTCTGAGGTTAATTGGTCTATAGCAGGGGTCTATAACCGGCCCTCGAGGCCTGGAGTTGCCCACCCCTGGTCTATAGTGTTACATCATATTTTATAAGGATTTTATGTGTTTGTATCATTTCTGCCCAGTTTGACCCATTTAGCAAACGTCAGCCTGTTTTTTGCTCTGACATCTATTCTATATGAATTAAGACAGTTATGACTGACAGGCCTGATTTTCTCCCCCAATAAAATAATATTTAATATATTACTCTACTTATTTTATTACATTTTTTACATCTTGGGATTTTCTTTTTACCCATACCGTATAAGTAAGCTTTCATTTTCAGACAATATTTAGATAAACAATATTTATCTATTTGATAGATAATGCATCATTATATACAGTGTAAGAGACATTTGTTTTTGAGATAAAAAAGATATAAAGTGATATGAAATAGAAATAATTGCACATTCAGTGTTTGCTGAAGCTCAGTATTTAAATCATTTGACAAGTTAAAAGGTCAAAGGTCTACTATCCTCTCTCTGCTTTTCCCTGCTGTGTGTGCCTGTGTCCAGATTCAGATAAAGACAGTTCTCCCCAAACGTGCCAGCATCACTGCTGATATCACTAAAAGGCTCACACGAATACTAATAAAAAATGTGATTTTGAGTGTCATGTTTTTCAACAATGTGTTGTTATACTTTTCTCGTGTTCGCTGATTTTTGGGATAATGTCAATATGATCATAATAAAATAATAATAAAAGCACTATGGACTAAATTACATTTTACACAACAATAAAAACAAAGGACTGGAGTCTTTAGAATACAGTCTCCAAATTTGATCCTATTACTGAAAACACTTATTATTATTATTATTATTATTATTATTATATAGCTATGGGTGTGGGTGCTTTAGGGACTAAAGGTTCCTAGATATTGCTGCCAGTGCTTTTGATCCTCTTTGGATGTTGGCTGCCTTTTGTTCTATTCTCTGTTAACATTTTCAGTTGGTGTTCCATTGGTTGTCTTGCTTTCCTTTTGAATATAGTATACACTACTTTTTGTGTCATTGATGTCCCAGTGCTTCTGCCCTATTTTTTTGTGTCTGATCATTTATGATTCGTTTTACCACAGCTTTATTTAATGATATCTGAAAATCAAATATCTGTAATTTTACTGATCAGTAAATGAGTCAATCTTTATTGACAAACTTTGCGTCCATAGTGAAAAAACAACAACACCCCCAAAACAAAACAAAAAAACAACACAACATGTAAGACTGCACTTAAAATGAAGAGTGATAAGTCTGTGTGTTTGGCAGTTTTTGACCAGCAGGTGGCGAGGGAGGTCTGTGTGCACATGAAGCCTGAGGATTAAACTCTTTTGCAATCAAATTGTCTGAAAGACTTCATGAAGCTTCATTTAGCTGTCACTAGCTCGAGCTGGTCCTTAAATACTGGATGTCTGATGAGTAACAGGTGTGACAGGTGAAGTGGGAACCTGAGGACTCCACCCAGTGGGTGGGTCTGGACAGGACCTGCCCAACACTTTCAGAAACAGCAGG